GGGGGATCAAGCATCAACATCAATAAGGCTCCCTGCAGGTATAGGATTGGAGCGAACTATGACTTTGTAAAATGGTGTCTTAATTAATCACTCGATACTTTTTACGGAATTATTGTACTTCTATTATGCTTACAGATAGTGATATTAATTTATGCTGTGCTATCCTTTTCAGCAATTTATGCTTCTAGATATGAAGTACCTCAGCAGCAGGTTTTACAAAGACCATTATGCAACCAAACGGCCATCTCCTCAGAGGGCAATTCTCATTCAGACGGTGCATACGCTGCGCTTAATATCCCAGAGGGACACCATATTTATGGGCCTGGAAATGTACAGGAACCAGTTTACAACGTTCTCCAAGATCCTTAAAGAATGTCCCAAAATTATGGCTCTTGTATAGACCAACCTTTGTATTATGCTTTGGAGGACCTATCAGTTAAGGACTCAGTGGAGTCTGATAATAATGGCCCTACTAATCCAGAACCAGTGCACAACGTTCTCGAAGACCCTGAAGTAATGTTCCAAAATTATGGCTCTGGTATAGACCAACCTTTGTACTGTGCTTTGGAGGACGTATCAGTTAAGGACTCAGAGGAGTCTGTTAATGATGGCACTACTGAGCCAGAACCAGTCTACAACGTTCTGGACGAACCTTACACAGAAGACGCAGAAGAACCTGGATGTCATGGCAATGTAATTGTGGAAGGTCCAGTTCCCAACACCTTGGAGGAACCTAATCGTTATGCTGGTTATCCATGCAAAAATGAACCGGTTCATAAAGTTCTCGAGGCGCCTGGTCTTAGTGGGGCCAAAACGACTGATGGTTATGACCCAGCAAGTTTCCGAGACCCAGAGTATGACGTTCTTGAAGGCCCAGAGACAGATGAATGAAGTGAAGATGGCTTGTAATGAGACAGCTCGGAGATTCAAGTGGCTAATACTAAAAGAACATGACACGAGAGAGAGTTCTTAACATTTTAATTTACTTAAAAATAGTATTTTGTGCACTGACTTAAGTCAAAGGAACTATACTATAATATACTGCTATCATACTGCCGTCATGTTCATCATAAAACACCAAAGAGATAATAGTAAACAGCAAAAGAGCAAGGTTGGGCTTATATTGAAAAAAAAAATCCTAGGTTTATTGCAAACAATTGAATGGATAGATACTGCACATAGTCAAATATTTCAGAATGCATGTGCCATTACTAAATATAGGAAACCTGAAGAATGGTTTGATTTCGGTGTACGGTCAACTCTTTCTTAATAGACACCTTTATAAGACAGACACCTGGTGTTTGTCCCCTCCATTTCTCAGTCCTTTTACTGTAACTAAACTTTCTAAGACGGACAACTGACGCTTTAAAACCTAAACGAATACTTTAGAAGTGCTTTTTAAGTAAACGGAAATGTAGGTACTTAATGTTACAGCTGAAATACGAACATCGCTGCTCAAAAGAGCACTATAACGATCGACGTTTCTTCAACACCTCTTACCTATTACATATTATAGGTTCAGCTTTACTAACTCAGAATTACTCTCGCCATTTTGCTTCGACTCTCTTTAATCTATAAGCGGACAACTGGGGACGGTGCCGGCAGCCGTGTCCTCTCTCGGTCAGTGGGGAGAATCGAAAAAGAGGGCGGGTGACGAGTGGGGCAACAGGCTATGTCCATATGAAGTATATATACACATTGGGAGCGAGGTCAGTTAATTGTGTGGCTTCATAGCTCAGTTGGTAGAGCATCGCACCGGTATCGCGGAGGTCACGGGTTCGAATCTCGTTGAAGCCCTGATTTTTTCAGGCTTCTTCTTTCCACTTGCTTAAATTGGAAAATTTACTGCGATGATCATTCTTCACTTTCAGGCTATGTTCATCTTAGAACTGTGCTGACCGCAAACAATAGTACCAGTTAGTAGACTGAGAGCATGATAACGAAGACAGACACGCACAAATAACTAACGCGCGTAGTAATAGGTCAGGAACTGAGCGAATGGGCTGAAGCGGTGAAAAAATCTCCTCTCGCGCAGATCGCATTTGACTGAGACCGACAACCTTGCAAGCAGCCTTGGTACTGACTTTCAAGGGTAGTTCCCATGTTAGGATATTGTATCTTATCATTTTCTACTTCATTCACGCGTCATAAACCGGAAATTTGAGTTTTTCTACATGTTAGAAGGTAATCTTGTAAAACAAGAATATGCGTCGCTTGACCTTACTTGTAAGTGAAAAACTTATCGTCAAAAACATTTTATTCAAATGTAGTGTTTCACCCATGTCCTCTAATAAATGAGATTAACGAACTTCAACGTAATCCGGCAAGTACAGGTAGTTAATTTCAAGCGACGTTTATTGCTTTTTGACCACCTTAATGTATGTCTATTTTCAAACTAAATTAAGTTATCCTTGAGTATTTTCCGGCCTCTAATGAGTTCCTGTGAGAAATTGTATTCCATTTTAGTTCCCGAGGCGTGAGAACCTAACGCTTCATTTAGCGATATTATAATAGTGTCTTTAAAGGAAACGTACTTGGGAATTGAGCCGTTTTTCCGGCCACGGTACATTTTTGCCTGCTAAGGCTACAATTTGAAATAAAATCCTGAAGTCAGAAAGAGAATATATGCGCGTTTGTAATAGGTAATCTTTGAAATAATGGAGTATTAATAAATAACTTCTTGTCATTGGGATTTTGATCACTTCATTCAAAACAAGTTGACCAGTATAGGGAAGTAAGGGGCTAGAAGAAATATTGGGCACAAGTATTTAAGTTAAGTTAATGTATATTGGAATGAAGTAGCTTCAACAGTTTCGATTGTAGATTTTCAATTTTCATTGACATAACCTTTCAACATGAAGTAAATTACTAAGAAAACGGTGATACCCATTTTGCTAAGCTAGTGTGACAGGAGCATAATCGGCGCTGGTGCATGATGCTGTTGTGGGGGAAACACTTATAGATGAGGTGAAGCCCCTGACCCCTCATGCTCGCTGTGAGCTTTAGAAGTCAAGAGGACCAGTGTTTTTGCACTTGTGGGGTGGTGAAGGTGGCTTTTAATGTATACGACACAGTTTTTCTTCTTTGTTCCCTGTAAATAAATTCCATTGTTCCCTAAACGTTTTGTCAAAGTTCCCTTTAAGAGTATAGAAATATCCCAAATTAATCCCAAAAATGTCCCTTGTTCCCTTAGAATAAATGATCACGTTCCCTTGTTCCCGCAGACCCCTAGGGGCCCCTCACAGGTTGTACGTGCAGCTTCAAGTGACCTCTGGGTTGAGAATCGCACCATTTACTTTTCTGAGAGCTAGACATGTTTTGCTTCTAGTCAGAGGTAAAAGAGAGGTTGTGATTCAGAGATTCTGTCCAGAGCTAGAAAACGGCCAAATTCCAACAGTTGTATCTACCCCAGGGCAGTCAAGTGACATAACTTAATCATTTGACGTCAGCCGT